TTCTTTTCAAAGATGATATGTTTACACAATGCAAGAGACGCTCTGTCCCTCGGACTTGCTTTTAAATAGAATAACGTATACGAACATAAAAACCAATCAGGAAAATGGCATCATGCTCAATATATCAGGTGGGGGGAAGAAGAAGGAAAGGAGGGAATTTGGAGTGATGGTTTGTCTTCCCAAGGAACTGCTACATGTGATGGAGCCCTGTTCTCTAGACACGGCTGAACACCTGTCTGCCCATACAAAGCAGTGACTTAATTCCTCATGTTGCTTTGCTTCTGTGTGTAGCTTTTGCTTCCCCTATTAAACTGTCTTTATCCTAACCCATGAGTTTTGCAGCTTTTAGCCCTCCAATTCTCTACCTGATCCCACTGGTGAGCCACTGAGCGAAGGGCTGCATGGGGCTTGGCTGCTGGATGGGGTTAAACCATGACAACCACAAAGAAAAGGAAATGGACTTTTCTACTGCTGAAAAAACAATCAGGTTCACACCACACACATACACACAAAAAATTCGTGCCTGGTTTACTTGAAAAGCTGCAATGCCTGGCACTCCTGATTTTTAGTTCCTGGAGGAAAAATTGACATCTTCTACATCTAGAGAATTACTAATCAATTCAGCCACCAATGGAGAGTTATTAATATACAGGTGTTGAGGAGGATCTTCCTGAAAGTTATTCTAGTGGATGATAAGTAGATGGTTACGTGAACTTACTCCAGCATTGTGCAGATAAAGTGAACTACTTTTCACAATTCCCTAGATTAGAGAATGAAATAAATATATTCACAAAGAAAGAAATTGTACTGCAAGCTTTCATGTTTATAGTCAGCCCTAGCAAGTCATGGTGGCAGTCCAGCTTCCAGTGTCATAATCACTTGTCCAAGCTGTAAGGTACCAAGGTACTACAGCCATCATAACAAGCAAGTAACTAAGACAAATGAAGAGAGCAAGAGGCAATGCAAAAAATCACTGAGAGATAAAATATATAGCTATCTATTATCTATGTGTTACATCTTAATACATACTGCAGCATTTATTACATACAGAGCATGCCGTAGTAGGAACTGCCTCTGTGATCTACAGTTCAAGTGACAATAGAGACTTTTTTTAGCCCTGTAGAATAAAAACTATTCTGTGTGGCCATTGTCATGCACCAGTATCAGACAGAAATGCCGGAATGAAAAACCCGCAAACTGAATGATCTCAGGAGCAGTCCAGTCCAGTTATAATGGTTTTATATTAAATTGTCTGTAACAACTGCCTGTCTTTATATGGTAACAATTCAGAGATATTGGGAAAGAATACTGGATTACAGGGAGCCAGAATTTTATAAAGGAAAAAGAAAGGACTTGTTCCTTTACCTGTTCCATTGTTGGTGTTCATTCTGTGAATGTGGCAAATGGCAATTGTATAAAATAGCTGCCAATAGCACCCCAACGAAGGAGGGAGTTCTTTACTCCCCCCTCTCCCATGTTTGAACAGAGCTCCAGAAATGATGGCACAGGGTAATTTTTCCTCCCTGGAGTTGAATGGGACTGCTGCAAAGGAACCAGTTTCCAATCCTCCTACAAGGAAGAAGAGACACAGAAGAAGTAATAAGAAACCAATCCAGAATGGGGACATGTTCATGCATTTACACACATTTAGAAAGAAGTTAACTCTGTCCTTCACCATTTTTGGTCTATGCTATCTGGTCTTTGAGCGAGGGGCTCACTCCAGATTTCAGTGATGTAGCAGAAAAAAGGTTTTCATCATTCTTTTTTGTTGTATGCGTTAGACACTAGTCTAATAGATTCTTCCTTCTCACTGTTCTCCACTCACCCAGCAGCCTTGGAATGGCAGCAGGACCTGACTGCTCTCTGTCTTGTGCCTCTCATAGGGTTACCCAAGTATCACAGCATCCTGCACTTCAGTGTTCTGCCTACAGCATAAGGTAGTGCTCAACGAGAAATGCCATGACCAGTTTATAAGAAATATAAAGGCTGTTAGTCTGCAGTACTGTGTTTTTGGGCAGTTACCTAGACACAGACCTCACTGTGCTGGATGTAATATGGATAGAAGCCTGTCTGGCAGAATCATATAGTCATGAAATTCAGAGGAGAAAGAATATCAAATAGCATTGCCCTTCTTATACAAGTGAGAACTGAGGCACAGTTGCTTCTTCACAAAGATCAAAATGAACATCTGTGGCATGTAAAAGAAACAAATCTCAGAATAACAAGTCTGAGACATTTCTTTCATGTGGGGGATAGCTGAGATACATGAAATGGGCTTTTTAGGGACTGACTTCATTCATTGCCAGCAATAAGACCTCAAGGTGTTACATATTTTGAATATGTTAAGCTCAGCTGATTTACCTTCAGTATTCTTTTTCAGTGTAGTAATTACAGATTAAACATTACAAAGCATATTTTTACACTGATTTTGACACAATATTTTTGAAGTTCATGAATCTACTAAGTCTTGAACACTCTCTAGTGTATTAGACAATAGTAGTGATTCACATTATTTTGGAGCTGCAAATAAGTTTTCAAGGGTAATGGATTTCATATATAGAGATTAAAATATAACATTCCTTCATTTGTGCCTGGTGACTTCTTTTCCCTTATCATACTACATTTAGCAAAATGAATAAGGCAGAAAGGATGCTGGTGTATTTTTATGATAATTAATGTATTTTAATTTCAAATAGCATTTCTGAAGCTCAGATATAGACTCCAAAAAAAGTGGTGCCAGGGCAAAACTAATGAATTTTAATTCTTTTCAGTATACTTATGCTTTCATGAATTCTTTTTGTTATATTCTGGTGCATGAGAATGCATCAGTAGGCACTCAGAGCATGCAGCCCACAGATCTGATTTTTACAGAAACACAGCTTAACTTTTTTAGCTACATAATAATGTGCACCTCAGAAGTGTGTTATTTTTAGTGACCAATGGGGTAATAGCTAGAAAAATGCATACTTCAGACCAACTTTTAAAAGATTTTTTTAAAACAACAGATTGTAAACTGCAAGTAGTCTTTCTGCACAAAGGATGCGTTTCAATGTTTTGTAGCTAAATTGTGTTATTCTTGGACTAATTTTAAGGGTGTGCCACTCTTGTCCCAGAGAGGCTGCAGCTAATAACTCACCCTTGCTTAAAGCACTTCAATCTGTCCCTCAGGTAGTTAAACTGAAACTTTACTGCACTAACTCTGCTCTTCCATATATTGGAGCACCTTGAAAAACTCGTGGCTCCTTGGGAGTGCAAATGGGCTGCTGTAAAACAGAAGAGTCCATGGTCTCTGCAGTTTGTCCATTACTGCTGGAGCTAAGCCAATGACTATATTCTGGTGCTGATGGTGAGGGGCACAAGAAGCAAGCTCTTTTGACATCATGTACAATGGATTGCACTCCTTTAATCCCAGACAATTTTAGTAGCAGTTCTTAGCTCCAGGCACAGATTCACTGGCAAAATACTGGCCTGCTGTAATTTAATTCTGCATTGTGTTGAGAGTAGGGCACAGTAAACCAGTCTGTCCTTTGTGCAACACTTGTCATAACAGCAATATAAAATCAATGACATTGTTTAGAAGAAGTTTTGTTACTCATCAGAACAGATCATTAAATGATGCCTCTTTTTTTTCCTTCCATAACTGTAGCATACCTGGGTGCTTGTGCAAAGCAAGAGCACCAGCCATAATTTACTGCATTGCAGTAAAATCAACAATGCAGCATTCCCCAGAGCCAGACAAATCTCATATTTGATATGCTAAGTGAATAGAGAAAACATTCTCCCCCAAAATATTTTTAATCACATTACTATGTTTCTTGTTTGTAACCTTCCAGAACCCTCACTGTCTAAGTAAACACTGGTCACTCTTGAAACCTAAACATTTTTCTGAATTCTGGTTTGAAACCATTTGTTTTACAAGTAACAAAGTGAATCACACTGATTTTCTCAAAATTCTTTCTTTTAGAAGAAGTAAAAAAGAACAATATGAGAAGTTAATGGTAACACATAGGCAAGTTCCAACTGAGCAGAAACAAAATTTGAAACTAAAAATATTAGATGTAAAAAAAAAAAAAAAGCATTTGATTCCATCTAAGAGAAAATTCCTATAGCTAGAAAGCAAACTCTCTGCAGTTGAGAGTAAATTCAGGCTTAGGATATTATTATCCAGCTATATAGAGCCATAGTTATAGTTTTTAATTTGAAAATTATACATATAGTTTAAGAAACTGCAGAATAGGAAATATTTTTTTCTATGAAAAAATGGACACATTAAAACCATTTTTCATATCTGTAAAATTGTGTTTTCTTCCCCAGGACTTCTTGAACTGTGATAGATTTTTATTTTGTTTGGTAGAAGTTGGACATTGAATAAATATAGTTTCTTTCTAATTAAATTATGATAAAAAGAATCTTGTAGTATTGAAATAATCTGCTTTTAGTATACATTTGCAGTTGGTTCCTGTCTGAAACATGAAGGTAAGAAAGACAACCCATTGTCTCAGCTTAGTGGCAGGAATCTTCCTAACTGTTGAATACGTGAGAAGAATAGAAATGAATGTTTGCTTGATGTAACTTAACCATTCACTCAATACAAAAAGTGATAGGCCTTGTGGACTGAGCATTCATCTATACTCAAGGATTTCAGAAGTTAGCAAATTTAAATTTAGGTTTCAGCATTTCCTTAAAAGCCAAAAAAAAAAGAAAAAAAAGAAAAAAAAGAAAGAGTTATCTGCATGAAGATTGTACAGATTGGTTAAAATCACAGTCCATTAGGGTCAAAGGGAGATTTCTTTCTGGAATAAAAGACATTTTATATAAATACCAACACTATAAATTTTAACGTGAAAGACAATTTATAATTTGGAAATATATGCAAAGAGAAGATTGAAAAATATGAAATAGAAAACTTAGCCAAAGATTTTGGTTTAGAGCAGACTACATGAAATAACTTTTAACAGTTAAACCCTGCACTGTATGGTAATTCTGAATTATTGTTCTAGGTACCTGGGAATAACGAGACCTCTTACTTACCCTGTAAGGCAGAATGGGAAGTGTATGGCCAAAATGATCCTGTGCGTGTGGCTTTTATCTGCCTCTATCACCATACCCCCGCTCTTCGGTTGGGCCCAAAATGTGAATGACGAAAAGGTTTGTCTGATCAGTCAAGACTTCGGCTACACCATTTACTCCACAGCAGTTGCATTTTATATCCCAATGTCAGTGATGCTTTTCATGTACTATCAGATTTACAAAGCTGCCAAGAGGAGTGCTGCTAAACACAAGTTTACTGGTTTTCCCCGCCCGGAAGAAACGGAAGGGATTTCTATGAATGGAGTTATAAAACTGCACAAGGAATCTGAAGAATGTGCTAATTTTTCACGACTCCTAAAGCACGACAAGAAAAACATTTCCATCTTTAAAAGAGAACAGAAAGCTGCCACTACCCTTGGGATTATTGTTGGGGCTTTCACTGTCTGCTGGCTGCCCTTTTTCCTCCTCTCAACTGCAAGGCCCTTCATCTGCGGGACGGCATGCAGCTGTATCCCACTCTGGGTTGAGAGAACATTTCTGTGGTTGGGCTATGCAAACTCGCTCATTAACCCTTTTATATATGCCTTCTTCAATCGAGACTTGAGGACAACTTATCGCAACCTCCTGCAGTGCAGATATAGGAATATCAACCGGAAACTGTCAGCTGCAGGGATGCACGAGGCTCTGAAGCTTGCAGAAAAGCCAGAATTTGTTCTGTAAGGTCACTCATCCTTTACTACGATAATTTGTCATTTTATCACGTTAGCTCTTTCCCTGCAGATTTCAAAGAAGAGTTATAGGAAGAACCAGGCCTCTTGAGGGCTGTTAATGCAGTCATCAAGAAACTGGAAGGTAGCAGTGTAGAGCCCACCAGTGAGCCTGGAAAAACAAGACCACTATCTGAAGAATTTGGGTGTAAGAGGAATACGAGAAAGGAGGAGAGTAAAATGTGGTGCAGGCTAGTGAGGAAAGAGCAAAGCTGGCCTAACCCACCTGTTTGGCCCAAACAACTGAAGGTCTGAGTGTTGGATGCATCTTGTGTCCTAGAGATTCTTTGCTGTAATAAAGACCTGAGAATGGTAAAAAGTTTACTGTAATTCATTACGTTCCACTTTGTTATTATAAAAATAAACCATTTAAGAAGAAGCTGGATCAAAGAAGTTCTATTGCTTAGAAATATTCTTTATTATAAAGACCCGTATGTTCATTAAACATTAATTTGCTAGATTGCCGGGAAATGAAATCCTTTGTGAAATTTAATATTGTCTTTGCACAGCAACTCTGGCACTGAAAGAATACATTATACTTCCAATGTGAATATAAGAGTCTGAATAAAGTCACAAGGACCAACTTCTACTGCTGCATACACTCATGCAGCAAAGGTAATTCAGTGCTGTTATGCTAACTACACCAGGTAAAGATCTTGTCCTATATTTCTAACATCTCAAATATATCTGATTACATTTTATTCCAGTATCTGTCTGGTCTTTGTCCATCTCTTCAGTCTTTCATTCTCTTGGCTTTCTTATCTGAGCCCTTCTCTAATCTAGATGGAGACTCTGTCTGTGCTTAAGTAATTTCTGTTGATTTATGGTTAGTCCTTGTTCCACTCCAGTAGTTAATTTACTGTCTATTTGAAAGCTCTTCTACTTGGGATTTCTTTCTCTTCTGAAGTCAGTACGAAAAAAATAAACTTAAGACTTTATGACTTCAAAGACATCTGGACTTCATCCTTGTAAACCTATTTTAATCATCACTTCTTCTTAAAGTAATTTAAAGCCTTGCCCTTTGTAAGAATCAAGAGAGTTTACTGTTTCTAGCTTTTTCTACCACTACTGCAGCTTGTCCAAGTATGTGACCCTACTTCTCCTGACTTTGGTAACAAAGTTCTTCCCTCAGTGGAGCAGGGCCGAATATTACAACAGCGTTTTTATTAAAAAATTAATTATGAAGGTGTTGATTATAATATTATTAGTAATGTATTAATATTATATGCCCTGATTGCATCAGGTATTACTGTAAGAACCTAAAATAATATAAAACAACTCATAAGATCAAAATGCTTTCTCTGGAACAATAGCACTGCACACCATGTTCAAGGTGAAGCAGCAGGGTACATTAGTGAACAGAGACTGCTTCAGAGCTTGATGTGCTTTTTCAGATATTGGGACATCAGTGAGGAGACATGTTCATTCTCAAATTGCCTCAGCATCAAATCACACTTTAGGCTAACTTCTGTCCCTGCTTTCTGAAGTATGACTTAAATGAGTTCAGTGATGTTATGAGAATTTTGTGCCAGATCCCTTGTTCAGAGCATTCAGACATAATTGCAAATGCTTTAAAGTAGCAGACACGTAAGTCCTGGATTGATATGCTGAGCTTTGTGTACTGAAACATGCTTGAGTCATTTTAGATGCATTTATAAACCAGAATACATACAGTAGGAAGAACATTTTGGTCTCATTTTTCGAGAAGGATCCTAGTTTTGTAATAGTAAGAGGCTATATCCCAGCTTCAGTACAGCTTTCTAAAGAAGTTTCAAATTGATTTGGAACAGTCCTGTTTTTTTTAAGTATTCCAATATTATGTACAGAAGAACAAGAGGATATTTAGGCCCAGAATATACACAAGCTCTGGAGTACAGAGTCGAGTCCATGTTAGTTCAAGCATATTTTCCATATTAAATATGAAATTAAAGTTGTTTCTTTGATACCTATCAGAGTAGCATTTTTTTGATTTCCAGCATAAGAGAGGTGTTTTCAAGACCTTCTGTAAATTCTTTTCTCTGTGTGAGGATATACAAGAGAATATACAAATAAATGTATCTGTGAAGACTCCAAGTGGGACTATAAAACTTCTGAAAGTGATTTTGGAATTCTGGGAGGAACTTTCAGCATTTTTATTCAGCAGGAAAGTCTGAGAAGTTGTGTTTCCTCCAAATAAGATTTTTCTTTCTTTTTTTTTTTTTTTAAATGAAATGTGTGTCTTATGAGTCAGAAATTGACATTTGCCCAGCTGTCACTAAAGGCAATTGCTTTCCTCAGGGAACGCATCCTGCAGGACTCCAGTTTCCCTCTACCATCTGTTTCAGGTAATGAGAACTCAGGAAAGAATAAGAGTTGTTATGGGCTGTGTACCAATCCTTGAAGTTTTTGGAGATAAACATCCATCTTTTCATGTCTGGATATGTTTGGAAAGAAAAGAAAAACAAAACAAAACTAAAACAAACCACCACCAAGTTTATTCATATACCCAAACCAAAACATAGAGGAATGCAAGCTGTTGTTAGATAGACCTGTATTTGAGGGGAAAAGTAAAGAAGTCAGGAAGATTAGAAGAATGTCCTCGTTGCCCAAGCACACAGATAAAAAGAAAAGAAATTGAGGAGAAAGTACTCAGACAGAATTCTAATAGAAAGAGGCTTAGATAAGGAAGGAAAGACAAGGAACTAATTACTTGGGTTCATGAACAGGACATTTTACTTTTTAAAAAGATAAATAAATAGAATTGCATTACAATATCCAACTGCAGCAGTAGGATTCTTTTAACTTAGGTAACTCACTACACATCTGACAGGCGGGTAACATATGAATGGGTGAGTGAGAAGTCTACAGCAACATGTGTGCAGCCTGGTACATGCTTTTATCAAACCCAAGAAGAGATTGCATTCTTGGTCTGTGTGTTCTTACAAGTGTTTCTAGGAGAAAGCGAGAGGAGTGAATCAGATAGATGGTTTTGTGGGGAAAAAAAAAAAAAAGGTAATAAAATACTCCAAGAACCATCTAGAGCATGGGGAAGCCAGCATAACACTGGCTAAATGAGAGACAAAGGTGAGAAATTGGAAGCAACACATGGAAGTAGTTCTAAGTTGCAGACTTTTGATAGTTACTTTTGGGAAAATGTGCAAAAATATAGAGGCAAAAAAGGTACATATCCAAAAAATTGAGAAAAAAGACACAAACCTTTCAAAAATATGCTTGTACAATGTCAGTGAAGACAATGTTGCTACATCCTTGCCTAAAGGACAGCTGGGCTCTGTAGGTCACCACTGCTCTGGATTTAACAAAAATGTATTAAAAAAAAAAAATTAATAGCAGCATGAAGAGAATCTTGACCTTAGGTAAGATCTGTTGACGTGAAATCTAAGCCAGTCTTTTTTTTTTTTTTAAGAAGCAGTTCATGTTGTCTAAATCCACAAATTGTAGTCACAGAAGGATGTGAATGCTGGTGACAGCTCACTCTGCAACCCCACTCCTGGGAGGCTTGGAGGATTTCAGCTATCTCATTCTTAAGTCACAGTTTGATATGTAAGAAGTCCCACGTTAACTACAGAGTAGGACATGCTTAAAATATTGGACAACCTCGGGTTTTTTATGAAGGTAGATGTCACTTTGTGTAAGTTGAAGTGCTTGGCAGGAAAGGTTGGAGTTGTTCCTTAGGTGCATAGGGCAGTACAATCTGGCATACAAGAGAGCATGGAAAAACTTATCCTAGAGAACAGGATTGCCCTTTTACTATACTGCAGAACTGGCCTTACCCCCAGATGATTTTTTTTTGTCTGGGGAAACTCAATGCAGCTTTTGTTATTAGCTGCAGAATTCACATTCAGTATTTCTGATTAGAAACCTCAGTCATATTGCTGCACATCCTAGACCATCTTCCTATCAGCTGGTAGTTCTGAAATTGGTTTCTAGCCACTATGGGATTTCTGAATGGTGGTGGTGGCAGGAAAACGGGACCAATGGACGAGGTGATACTGGGAAATGGAGTGCTTACCATAGTCTGAGCTAGGAGCTGAGGAAATCAGGAAGCAGCTGTGCAGCTTCTGACAGCATCTAGACCTCCTCTTCATCCAGCACAAGCAGCCACTCAGTCACAGCCTTCAGCTGCAGCATGAGATTTCAATTGCTGCTAGAATTATCTAGATATAAACACAGGATGATATCAATCAGAATAAAGTGTATATAAAGTGTATATAAAAGTGCTTGAGAGCAGCCATTGAGTGATGCAGTTCAGTAAAAGGAATTTTAGTCACAACTATGTCAGAGATCAAACAGAGAGAAACAACTTCCTCCTCCTCTTACACAGCTCATTGTATAATATTAGCAATACCCTACCTATAATTTATCTGTAAAAGTAACACTAGCTCTCAAGGCATTCCAGATGAGGTGGTGCTGGATGAGCCTCCTTTGCTTGAAACAGTCGTTCCACAGCATGTCTGACACCAGTAATAAAACACCCAATGTACAGATGGTACTTTACCAGGAAGCCCCTTGCTTCCTTCTTTCTCATCCTGCTCAGATGCACCACATTTCTGTCAATTTTCCTCAATGAACAGGGCTCCAGATCAATAGACTTAGACTGAATAAATCTCCTCAGTTTATACCCTTGGATCAGAGTTCGAGGTAACGATTTAGCGTGACCAGTTTGCAGCCTTTCCTGCTCACCTTGGACCCTCCCACTTCTTGTTTGAGTTAATTACTCAGAGTCAAATCAGTACCTGTTGCTCAGAGGTTCTCAAGTGCCACATAAGACCATATTTCTTCATTACCATTCCTGCTCACAACTACTTTTGTAAATATACTGCTCACCTGTTGTAAGCCCCACTCCCATTTCACGGTAGCACTTAACTGGCAGGAGAACTGGGCAGAAACAACACACAGCATTTCCCGTGGTGTTTTCCCTCCTTGTTCAGTTAAAACTCAAGGGTTTGTGGCAGTATCAATACATGGTGAAAACTGTTCTCCCCCTGCTCACTTAATACTGATTTTTGAGGGAGACTGTAGTAGAAGCCTCATTCCTAACACTGTTTCCAGCTCGCTGCTTACCAAGCCTGTAGGTTTGATACTGTAACACAGTATTGGCACTTACCAAACTGCTCTGTTTAGTAAGGGCCTTACAGGGTAATAATAGAAATAGCAGAGTAGTAAAACATGTGAATTGATTATGATATCTTATTATTATACATCTATTGCTTCACATTTTAGTTTAATGAAAAGAAAAACAGTGTCTTTTCATGCTCTGTTCAGAGATTTATTAGCTAGAACCACCTGCAGAAAGATGTGTCAAACAGTGGGAAATAAATCTATAATGTGACATAGAGGAGGGAATCATTTATCAAATTAATACTAGAAGTAATGCAGACAACATCCGTTCTCTCCCTCTGCTCCTGATTTATAGCAGAAAAATAGTTTTCCAGGCAGCCACTGCTCCAGGCACTGCAGCATCATTACAAGAACATTATTAAGTTTTTTGATTGCTGACCAAGATGCTGCAGTTACATAACTAGAAGGTGTTGGAAGCAATGCTGTTCTCTTGCTTTCCCCTAGCTATAACCGTAACTTTTCATATTATTTTCTTATCTTTCAGGAAAAACTATTCAAATTATAATATTCTCAGAAAATGTGCAAGATCAATGTGTCATCAAATCCTCTTCACAGTTTGCTTAGGAATCAGTTTTTGTCTTTTAAAACAATACTGCTCAGGAAGACACAGGGAAAAAGAAGGGAGAAAATTTAAAATGGTCTTAATGTGCAAAATTGTCAATATCTTGAAACAGAAGACACCCCTTATTTCAAAGAGTGTTGAAGTAGTAATCGTGAGAACTAGATTTTTATTTCTTTTAAGAGACGGATTCAAGTAAGTAAATTTAAAAGTAGCCTAAGAAACACTGCATTACAAGAGAAAACTTTACAATATGCAAAAACCTCTTCATCATTTTAAATTTCCAAATAGTTATTGGTGCTAAACAGTGGCTTCAGCATGAGTTTGAAGTGAATTAGTACTGCTTTCTGTGCCCACTTTCTAAACATTTTGTGGGCCTGTCCTTCCCCACACTCACTATTCAGCTGCCCTGCTGAATATTGCCAAATCCCTTCTCATAAAGTCACATTTCCAGAAGGGCAGAATGGCTTTTATTTGCTGAGAACTGAAAAGATGCTTGTGATTCCCAGGTTCATTTTTCACTGCTACAATCAAAAGAAAACCCATTGAGATATTGGGTTTTCTTAAAGATAATAATATATGGATGCTGTTGGAGATAATATTTTAATGATTTATAACTTGGTGACTTTACTGATTGAAATTTTTTCTGTCATTTGTGATCATTTGCACAGAACAAGTCAAGTTAGTTTAGAAAAAAAAGCATACAAATCTATCAAAGTTTCCAGAAGAGACCATGCATTTTTATAAATCAACATACCAGAGTGAATAAATATTTTGCTTTTAGTTTTCTCTCTACTCAGTCAAAACCAACAATATTTCATTAATTTAGTAGTTGTGTGGTCTTTTTAGTTCCAGAAAATTTTGTTTACAGTATACTTATTTTCTTCTGGAAGAGAAGAGAGCAAGCCACTGTAATATACTTAGTTCAGCCCTTCTGGAGAATCTGTGTTTTCAAGCATGGAAAAACATAGAAGAATGCATCTGGATAAGCTCACTATTGTCTCAGAAAACTTTGCATCTTTAGCCAAACTAACCAGGATTTCAGCAGGCCTGTGTTAAAAGAGCAGAGATTCTTCAGTCAAATCTACCATCCTATAGATGGTTGCAAGGAAAAGACAAAATTAGGCAAATTAAATGAACATCTACGTCCCAGCAATAGCTGCAAAATCAAAACAGCTCCACTCAGTAAGTAAAACCAATGATGATATTCTTGTAATCTGAAGACTGAAACAGCACAATGACAAAATATTACAGGTGCTTTGTAGAAATACTGAAATTAATATCTTAATGGTATGTTTTTAAACCGAGTAAGAGCTGCTTGCCTACAATTTTAGGGACTGTTTTCCTTTCATATTTAATTAATAGAGGCTTTCTCTAAGGAATGCTGGAGCTAGTTGCTGTGCTTTTGCAGTCTATTAAACACAACATGTTTGCTGTAAGGAGGATGTACACCTTCTGTGTACTGATATATTATAGAGGGCCTGCTCAAGGTATCTGTTGCCTCTCCAAGCTAAGGGCATTAAAGAAGCCCAAATATTTATCCTGATACTGAAGAAATAACAGGAATAAATAAAAGTAACGTAGGCACTAAACACATGCAGAGAACTTGAAACCTTTGGGATATTTCACTGCAAAGACTCAAAGAGCCTCTCTCTTCCTTACAGAATACTTATTTTTTTCTTAGCTTGTATACAGTAAATATTCTTGACAAATCCATAAATTTTATTTCTGTCTTCAAAAAAAAAAAGAAGTAATTTCACAGCAAGTGAAAATCATGCTAAGGACCTTTTACTTGTCGTTATAAGAAAAAGAAGCCAATGTTCAGTTAGACACATAAGGTTAATGCTAAAAAATAACACTTTTTTTCCAAGATTAGTATTCTCTTTCCAGAATAATCTCCTGTCAACCCAGAAAACAGCAATAATCATCAGAACTAAAGTAGTCTGGAATTAAAAAGATTTATAAAACCAAACTTTTAACCATAATAATGAAATAACATGTTTGGTTTTTTCCATGTATTTTTTAAAAAGTTGCTCATCCAATTAACATGATATCTAACAGACAATAACACTTCTAAGGGCAAATATATAAAGTCCAAAACTTTATTTTGGATAGTTTTGAACTTGGATGTAATTACCTGCCATCCTTTAATTTGGATCAATTTTTGCAAAGATGTGTTTTCATGTAATAAAATATTTGAAATAAGTAAGAATGCAGGTTTGTCTGCAAAAATACATTTCAAAATATGAGTAATTCCATGATTTCAAAGGGGAAGCTATAACAAGACAAAACAGTACCTTGTTGCATGCTACATCCAGGCCAAACTGGACATGGGATACCCTGAAAGCCTGCTTGCAATCTCAGAGATGTTTCTGTTGCAACATTTCAGCCTGGTTGCTGTAGAAAATTGATTCTTCCCTTTAACAATCTTGTGAAGAGAGGCAGGAATTTGTATTTTCCATGCAAAGCTTTTGCAGTCATTATTTGTCTACAGACAATTTTATGAAATTGAGGAAGAAGTCTTCATTATTGCTCTGGCTCCTTCCTCCCTCTCTCACACGCGTGAGGTCCCCATGAGCAGCTCGTGTAGTGCTGCCACTGAAGGCTGCACAGCTGAGCCAAATACAGGGCTCTCAGTAAAACCACCTACATTTTCTGAAATATTTTTGGGCTTTTCACACTGAATTGCATAAAATGGACTGGGAACTTCCTCAGTTCTCACAAGAACCCAAAATATAATGAGCACGAAGGACTGAAGGCCCCCAGAAAGCTCCACTTTCCCCTAGCTTCTTCCTTTGTATGGCACCTCTGAGGATTATCTCTGTCGACATGGTCTAATTGCCTCTTAAGAAATGTTTCAGTGGTATATGGATCAGAAATTTTAGTTGCTCCAGGATATTTCTCATCTAATTCAGCCTCTTTTTTAAATACAGGAGAAGTTCTGATTTCTCCAGGGAAAAAGAGTCATGACCAAATGTGCTTTAAAGCAGCCAGAAAAAAACCAAGCCAGAACAGGAAGAAGAAAAATGAAGAGCTGGCTTCTAAAGAACTGGATAGATTTATGAAACATGTTTCATCTTCTTTTGATGGAAATGTGCTAAAAATACTCCATGAGCTCGATACATTACATTAATACATTTCTGTTGGAAGTAGTCACATCTTGTTTGTTATGAAGGAAAGTGCTGCTATACACAAATGAAAATAGTTTTCTGCCTGAGAAAGCCAAGCCATTTCAGCAATAAGAGTTTGGCACACAGGGTTGAGAAAAAAAACATGCAACTAAAACTCAAAGAGAGAGCATTGTACAGATTTCTACCACAGTAAACAATGTAGAAGAGTATTTGTATGTTTACCATGCTCGTGGATCATAACATTAGTATTAATATTCAGGGATTTTCATTGATAATGAATGTATTTTGGTGTACTACAAAAAGAGGTTTTCAGGCAAATGCTGGATCTGTGGATGCTTTCAGGGCTTGTGTTAGAGATGTTATGCACCTGGAATGGGATTGAGAACAATAAAAGACCAATTTTTGCAAAAACATTCTATTGTTCTAAGTTTGTTACTTGTTAACATGCATGTGGTTTGTTCTCCCAAACCTTTTAAAAAAGCAGTTTTCAGTTATGCTCTGACAAAATCAAGGGACAGAATTAGAATGCACATGTATTACACCACAGCTAATTTACAAATATGATTGCTTTTGTTTAATGTAATTTTCATGACCTGCCAATTTACAAATTTCTATAATTTCAAGTCAAATAAGTACAAAAGACTGGAGAATGTCCATAGTACTTTGCTTTTTGTCTTACTGGGTAGCTAGTCAGAAAATTAAAACATTTATTATTTTTAAAAATGTGTTTAAGAAGTGTTATTTCTGCCATTTATTTGTTGTATTTAAAAAGACATCCCTTTGTCCCAAGACAATTGATTCAAGAGATTGTTCTTAAAATATGCCCTTGAACAATTTTTTTTTTTAGCTTCTCATATTCATTTCTCCACAGAATTTCTAAACTATGCATGGTTATACCATCCACAAGGCAGTGGCATATCCCATTCCTAAATTCTATCTTCCTTAAAGGTACATCTGAGTGAGCACTTACTCTATTTCCATAGCTGTGTGATTTGTGATAGCGTGGTCTCCTACTTGCAGTTTAACCAAAATGTGGCTTGGTGAATCACCCACTGACTCCATATGGCATCATGGCTTGATTTCCTTTGTTTAAATTAATATACAAGGTCACAACAGTTACCTGAATAAGGAGCCAGGCATCCCAGGACAGGCCAATTCATTTGTTATTGGCAAGGGATAAGTATGGGAAGCAAATCAACACATGTTAAGCCTGTGTAAAATCTAGAACAGAGAGCCTAACTCATCTTCTACACACTATCCTGAGACCCTAAGATAACTCCTGTGGTTACAAAAGAGAGCACCAAAGTATCATATTTTCATTGTAGTAGATCAGAAAGGCTCTTTTCAGTATTTCCCTGATAAAACTAATTGCTGTGAACTCTGCATTTGAAGCAATATGAGTCCTATAATTTGCTTTATTTCCCCAATAGAATGACTCAGAAATGCTTTTTACTTGCTTAGCCTGAAGTATTTAACAGGAAATGGGACAGTTATTGTCAATGGCAAATGGACCATTTCTGTTTGCATTACATGAAAATGCATTCAGAGAAACAGCTGAAGGCAAAACTACCCTGGCAGATAACATTATAACTGAACTTAATCAGAAAGGGAGAGGATAGATCCATAAATGTAACAGTAAAACAAAAAAAAAAAGTGTTTAAGTGTTTCTTCTTTTAAAAAACCCAAACCTTAAAATGAAGGGCACTAGTCCTATTCTGAAACTCATTTTCAAGCTTTATGGTCTCACTTGCATGTCCATTTCATAAGGGCAATGAATCAATTTTACCCTGATGAATTAGACTGTCATTTTCCTTGTTCATGATACTGTGCCAAAACCTTAACTTGAAGCGAAATGGAAAAATTGTATGTCATGAGAATATTTTGAAGGATTAAAACCCCCACCCAAATAAAAAAATGCTACCAATGAAATTTTTCTGTGAAAAATTTTGGGGTTTTTAAATGTCATTATTTTAAGCTTAAGTGAAAAGTTATGTTTTAGGAGAAACTTAATGGAGGGCAAAAGAATCAGAAAGAGCTTTTAGCTGTTAGGGAGCTACAGTTCTAGTTAAATATAACTATACGGATATATAACACACACATTCATCCCTCATATTTTAGAATGATACTGCCTCATGAAAAGAAGGCAATAAAACTACTATTACCTGATAAACCATTTGTTTCTTTTAATGCTTTTACATTCCCAGAATTTTGCAGAAATTATGAGGATAATTTAGGACAGGTTGTGGCATCATGGACCTAATAAAATTGCAGTTCTACCTGTTTTTTTTCCATAAAGAGCTTTTCATCCAGGAATGTTTGAGACACATAAACAACCCAGAGAAGACTGGGAACTATAGAATACTGATGCTTTGTCATTCAAGACGAAGCTTATTTTTTTCCAGCTGTAACTGCCAGGTTTGTCCCCTCTCAAACCAAGGCACTAACCTGCGCAGTAACTGGAAGTCACTCAAGGCTAAGGACATATTCAATAATGGTAAATAATGCACACAGTATTTTAGAGGATTATAGAAAAAATAGGGCTGATCAAAAGAAGTCAAGAGATTGGATGGCCTATAGGGATAAGGAGTTTTCAATAGTTCCTGTAGCCAGTAGCGCAAGGGCAGCACACAAACCTGCCTCACACTGAGATAATGCAAGTCCCCAGGCTGCAGGTATAAAACCAGCAGGGTGAATGATGTCAGAAACAAGGCTTGTACTCATTGTTCTGCATCTGCAGAAGATTCCTTTCTAGCATCTTGTTCTGGGGTGTGACAGTGAGTAGTTTGCTTTTTCACAGGGCTGCCTTATGGTAGATATCATTGTATTTGTCAGTTTTAATGAATAAAACTATTTTTTAAAAAAATGTGCAAACCCCTTGATCTTTCACTATCCACCCCAGCCTGTCCTGTTCCCCATATGTTCTTGGGGACAACAGACCAATGAGATATTTGGTGGACCAGCCTACTACACCTTGATTATATCTCTCTTACCCTTCCCTCACTACCTGTTCCCTGTCCAGGTTGATCTGTTTTTTAAAAAACTTAAAGCCTTTTCCTAGCTGTCCCCTTGATTGTACTGAAAAGTTATTGCTAAATTACCTAATTTTATTCATATGAAAAAGTGATTAATTTACTTCAGACCTGAGCAAAATATAAATGCAATGATAAAATAAGAAAGTTTTTCTTATTATCACAAGATACACTGATGAAAAAATTTATGTGAAAGCACGAAAACCATATTTACATACAATACAAGACCAATCAGATGTTCTTGATAATTTTAATAGGTAAAAGTGAATTCTATATGTTATTTCAGTCAGCTCGGACTTTTAGTATGCCAAAGTTCCAGCAGATTGAGTTGCAACTCCATTTTTGGTCATATATTTTACCTTGATGAGGTCTAGTAAAACATAAAGACATTTAACATAAAATACTGTGTCCCACAAATAGCTTACTAAGAAATACAGACACAAGGAAATTAACTCCTCAAGTTCTAAGTGGTTTGTGCTGAAAACACTGAGTGTCTTTTGTTGTAATATGAGTCTTATTTGTAAAAAAGAGAATTGCTGCCACTTGCATTGCAAATTATTCAAATTTATACAGCAGACTAATTTAGCATAAAAGGAAATAAGGTTCTTCTGTATTAGGTACAGAGTTATATTATGCTTTTAAAATGTATAAGCCCAGAGGAATATTATAATGTTAATTTGGATAGTATTTAAAAGGTAATTACTTTTATACAATAAAATAAAATAAGAAGTCTCCTGAATACTAATCCTTGTGTCATGTGCTTTCTTTGAATTAATGTTACATAAAATAGAGAATTCATTTGTTTAAGTGATTTTAATTTAGATTCATGGCAGACATTCTCATCTACAAAAATGTCTGGTTTTTTTCAGCTGAAGTAATTTAAAATCCTTACTGTATTAAAATCACTGTTAAAGAAAGTTATCTACATTTGTTGAATGGCACTGAACTGTAAGAACGAGAGATAGGAGATTTTAATGACTCTCTTAAAGGGTGGTTTGGTGTGCTCAGCACAGGCACTGTTACAAGGAGCACTGGCACAGGCCATACTGAGCAGGTCGAGACTGATTGCTCCTGAATGGAAGCTGATTTCATCTATTCAGTCCTATCTATCTATTCAATGGGAAAGGCTCAGAAGTTTTATTTGCATTTCAGTCCAGAGAAGACTGAAAGATATTGAAAGACAGAAAGCATACTTTGTCCAATTTCTTGAATTACATGAACATCTACTCTTGTCTCTGATGATCTCTTCAATGCACAGAGGGCATCAATCTTAGGACCCCCTCAGAAAACAATATTCAGATGTTTTATAATATATTTAATTTATGCAAGCATTTTCTTCTTTTTTGTCTGTTGAATCAATGCTTTTTTCTTTAGCCAACATCTTCTCCTATAGTTGACTATCTACCAGAATTATTTTGTTAAAAATACCAGGTATCTAAGTTGGGTATTTAGTCAAATAAACAGAGATTATTTCCATCTGAATCAAAATAAACTGATAGATGAGACAGCCACAGATGAGAACTTGATTACTTTTTTCAACATATCATAAAAGAGGTTTTTAGAAGACATAGTATTTTGGAACTGCTCTCAAAAAATCAGTTTTGCATGTAACCATTTGAGTTGTTCTGAGCAAACCTCACTTCTTATGGTTTTAATTACCAGATTCAGGAAAAATGAAAGACAAAAACAGCACGACAAACCACCTGATGGGAAGTCACATCAGAGAAAAGCCAGTGAGAGATATATTTGAGACAGTCAGCATGTATACACAGGTCTCCAGAACAAACAGAAACCAAACAAGAAGGTTATTCCTTCATCCTCAGCCTGGGGTTACTTCCCATTGCCTGAATCCAGATGTACATCTGGGGCATGTACCACAAGGCACGTCTTCTCCACAACACCCTTCCCTGTGCTGTGTCCATAGGGAAGGGAGCAGAGTGAGTGGGCACTGAGTAAGATGGAGCACACCCCATGTCTCCTGCTCTGGGGCACACCTCTCCTCAAAAGCACAGATTGCTGAGGAATAAGAGCTCAGTGAGCCCAAGGACCCCCTCCCAAAGTCAGGTCACCAAACCTTTTCCCAGGGCTCAACAGGTCACAATTAACCCTTTTTTCCTGGAGAAGTGTCCTCACTGAAAGGTCACATCCAGTTCCTGAGGAAGCAGCTGGTGGGAATGCAGTAGAGCCAAAAAGCCTCACTTCTCTAGTTCCCATCTTTCTGACTGTAGCTGTCATATTACTGAATGGAAAGGAATCTTTGTGCTATCTCAGTTCTTAATTTATTCTTGTCAAGCTGGACACTTTTTTACCATTGCTTAGTTTTTAGCAAGAATAGGAAGTCCTTTTTAAAATGATTTCTGATCAAGTTACAGCCAGTGCAGATG